CAATACCTTCTTTTATTAAGTGCAATACAATCTTTTTTACTTATTGTTTTTATTATGACATGACCTGTATGCCCTTGTCTTGTTCGTCTTTTTTGTCTTGGGTTGTCTCCACTTGTTTTATTTTTGCTCTTATATTTATTCCTAATGCACCTTCAGTTGTGGCACTCCCAATTTCGTTGTATAGGTGTCTGTACAATGACAATAAAGGCTATCTTGAATCTTGAATCTTGACCTGCACGTGTATAGCACCTTTGTAGTCTTCTGACCGCTCAAGGCGCTTTTACACTTCGAGTCACATTCACCGATTCACACACTGGTGGCCAAGGTTGCCATACAAAGTGCCACCTACTACTCAGTTTAAATGCACCCACACACCGATGGAACAGCTATTGTAAGCAATTTAGGGTTCAGTATCTTGCCCAAGGAGGGCTGGAGGTGCAGGGGATCGAACCACCAATATTCTGATTAGTGGATGACCCAGTCTACCTACTCTACCTTCTGACCCACAGTAGCATAACATAGAAATACTCAAAGTTCAAGTAGCCTATCTCAAAATTTTGCCTAAGTACAGCAACTTATTCTCATTCTCATCAAGCAAATTACATGGGTTAAGTTTAGGGAAAGAAACACGGTGATGACAAATTTGGTTTCACATGGTTCCAAACAACAGTCTCCTGGAGGAAAGTCCTGTGTTCTGCAGCCTGCCTGATTATGTGGGTTATATGCAAGTTGTGGTGCATTACTTTTATAGGTATTTGTATGAACAGTGAATGACAGCAGCCTGAGTACAGTACTAGAGTTAATGTACTTACAGCATACAATGATATTTAAGACAATAGAGTGTTAACCACACTTTGGCAACACTGTGTTTGTGGTCCCTTTCCTGTTTCCATCACTGGAGTTCATCTAAAAGCTGCTGTTGAAGCTGAAATGAGAGCTGCTGCTATTTACCATTGCCTGAAGCTGTTTGTCTGATCACCAGCTCACCAGATGTTTGTGCCAGCACATAAACTCCTCGGCCCGTCAACAACATTTTTGAAAACCTTTTTTTTTTTTTTTTTTTTGGATTTTAGTTAAAGCTCAAAGAAGCTGGAGAAAAGAGAAAGGCGAGGGAAAAAAGTGGTTACGAAGACGAGTGGATGTGAGAAAGTGGACATCAGAGAGTAAGGGAGGAAGAGAAGCTTGACAGAGGAGGAGGAGGAAGCCGGAGAAAGACTGTCAAGGTGAAGGAGGGGAACTGTTTTACTTTTCCCTTTGTGATGTTCCCCTGAGGATCTCCATTTATCTCTCTTCCTCTCTCTCTCTCTCTCTCTCTCTCTCTCCTTTCTCTGCATCAAATAGAAAGTCCCTGGTTACGTTTCCACCTCCCGGTTCTCTCCAAGTCATTTGGCATTTATATTTAAGCCCGAGGAGATGCTGGAGAGCCAACGTTCACTTTACCCTGGGGTAAGTCTGGATGTGGCGCTGTGTCTTCTCTGCTTGTGCATCCTGTCATCTCTTTATCCCTTATCTACTTTCCTGGCTGTTTTTCATCCCCTGTTTACTTGCAAGCCAATCAGAGAGTCTAATCTAGAAACTTTAGCAGCATTACGCCCACAGCCAGATGCATCAGTCTCTCTGTCTGTCTCTTGTGGACATGGAGTCGGAAACAGACTGTCCTCAGTGAAACAAACTTCCCGTTGGCGTTGTGACTCACCTGTCCATCATGACAGACAGAATAAAGCTTTTAAGCTCCAGGAACGTGACCTTATTGTTGCCTTTTACCTGCGTTGACCTGCTGTAACTAATGTGACCCTTACCTTAGCTTTCCTTTGTTTTTCTTTTGCATGTGTATGTGTTTTGCTCAGGTGGATATCTTCCTTCAGTACTACTCTGTTTGAATGACTAAATCCCTCCAGGGCCTTCCTTTGTCAGTCGAAAGCTTCAGCAGATCACTGATACAGATCCAATTTAATTACTGGCTTCCCAACAACTTAAGAGATGTGTTTCTTGCTTCTCCAAGTGCTGATTAAACAATTCAAAGACAAGACAATAGATACCGTGATGTTTTATTGTTACTACCCACACTGACTTTGTTAAATTGAGACAAACGCTCAACATTTAGTCATGCTGTCTTCTCCAGTTGAAACAATCATGCTAACTACTCCGGTTGTGTTTGCCAAATGGAATCAAAAGTGGGAACTTGTGTTTTCTAAATGCCACAGATCTGAATGGCTCATCAGAGAACGATAAAGAGCATTTCATACACAAATAAAACTGACACACGCTGCTAAAGGAAATTAACAGCTTAACAGGGTCATTTGTGTCTGGTCTCATCTCAGTTTGGGAAGCTCACACAAACACTGCTGGTAATTTTGCGGTGATTGTTACACCCTCTCTGGGATTTCTTCTGTGTGAAAATTAAGTCACAAAAGGCAAAAATGCTTTGTTGGTGAGGATGAGCCACATCAGAGGCTCAGAGCAGCCCTTCAGGAAACACAAACAAGGACAAACATGATCTGATTTGGACAGTCTGGGGACAAATGAATCACAACAACGCTGAGGTATCCTACAGCGTCTCCTCTCTGGCTGACCTGCGCTGACACGGGTCAATGGACGAGATTGTTTTGTGGTCACAGGGAGAAGAAAATAAAAACAGAGTTTGGAAACTTGAGGAGAAGCTCTGCGGCCGACTGTCAGAGACACTAATTGGTTTTGCTGCCTGAGGTGGAAAACTGTGCGGTATTCTGAATCCACAGCTGCACTGCAGGTGATTGACAGTTTAGGGGTAAGAGACCGAGCTCAGACAGAAGCTGAAGGCCGGGCAGAGGGCAAGGACCAGTGGAGAGGTTTGTTTGGTGCCCAGGATGGTGCAGAGGTCTGAGGCCAGGGGTGCAGGACGAGGCTAGGCTCTGGCTGGAGGTGGACCAGAGGGCTGATCCAGAGCCAGGAAAGTCTGTCAGCTAATTAAAATCAAGTTAATTCAAATTAAGACTTCAGTTTGGAACTCATAAACATGAATTAATTTGATATGAATGAATAAATGCACAGACTTTCCAGGTTAAAAACACTCAAGAGACCTTTCTGTTCTGTAGAAAACACACAGTGTACCTGCTGGAAATTTGCTGTGTGTCTCATACATGTTAAGTTAAACCACAGTGTTTCCCCTGATAAGAATATAAACAGTGCTAAGCATTAGTCAGTGGCAGAATAGGTTTATAGATCTTTACATTTAGCAATACTGCAATATATAGAAGCTTTGCATTAAAAAAGGTGAGTTAAAGGAACACATCATTCCCCAAATGATCGTTTGTAAATCAGTTTTTCACCATGAATTACACTGAATTCATGATGAAAATGTTGTTTTCTCACATGCCGTGAATGACGAAAACAAAAAAGAAAATTCTTGATGAAATGAAGTCATAGGAGTCCGCGTCTAACAACAGCAAAACTACATCAAAATATCAGTTTAGAAACTTTAATACAGCTTGTGGAGTATTATCCAAGTCTCAGGTATCCATTCATATGCTCAGTACTTCCCCAACACATGCATTTTTTGCCATAACCCTGTGATTTGAAGCACTTCTGCATAAACAGTCTCAGGCACAGACAAGTAGCATGCCTGAAACTGTTTATATGGAAGCGTTTTAAATAGTAAGGTTTGCATTCAATGTTCAACATAACATGGGGTGAGTAATTGATATACAAATGATCATTTGGGGGGTGTAGTGTTCCTTTTAGAAAAAGTATGTGAGTACTACTGGGAAAATGCATGCTCTGAGTTTTCTGCTCCTAAGACAATGGAAGTGAATGGAATACAATAAGTGAGGCTTACCATATAGAAAAAATACATTTAAAATAATTCAGGTGTCACTGTAGTTTTCAGCTGAACTACTATGTTCTATGTACTTTCTGTAGATCATCCACAGTAACACAGACACAGGCTCTAATTCTCCTGTAATTTTTAGAACGAGATGTAACCAACGTCATAATCCATTTACTTCCATTGTCCCAAAGGCAGAAATGTCAGACAGACATTTTAAAACCTGGATTAAACCAAAACCATCTGCGTGTCTAGATACCACACAAGGTGATGAAACATGATGTCCAGAAACTTCTGCTGAGCAGCAGACACTGTAAAATTGGAAAATTGAACATCACTACATTTCCCAAGATTCTTTTCGGTTAGTCACATAGATTATGTCATCATTAACTGACCTGTGAGAATAAATTTACTCAAAAAGAGAAGACACTTTTGGTTCATTCCAAATCGCATACTTTTTCTTTTTACCTTTACTAGGTACTTGCAGCTGCCCTTAAAAGCTAAGCACTGTTGCATGCTGTATGTACACAATCGGGACATACTACTTCCTCATAACCCTACGCCCTGAACTTACCTCTGACTTCTCTTACTACAGTACATGTAGAGAGTAGAGACTGCCATCAGTCTGCCAGCATACTACATTTGACAGACTATGTACTGCAACATACTTATTGTTTTTGTAACATTGTATTTTAAGGTTATTATTAAGTCTTTCAGAGCTGGGGGAAGAAATACATTTCTGTCGATTTCCAGCACATGAAGGGGTTGACAGAAATTACATTTTTGAGACATTTGAGACAAAAGTGGCAGTAGTATTTCTGAAATCATTTTTGTAGAACTCAAGAGCATTAAAACTATGAAATCTTGACAGGAAATACAGGATAACGACAAAAAAGTAGTACAGAATACAGCAGTCTGCTGGAGCTAGAATTTATACCGAGATACTGGAGTAAAGATGGCTAAATGACCTAATGCAATATTCAAGAATATGAAAATATCACATATTAATGTTGAATGAGATGTATGCTAGGGAAGAAATTGGAGGGGAGTGGAAATAAAAGGATTGTTGGAAAGGGACAAAAAATGGGATGGTGGAAGATTTGTTTCAGTGTCATCATGTTTCACACTCCAGTACAGCAGGTGGCAGCATGCAACTCCACATTAGCTGGTAGCCTGCATTATTAGACTAAGGAAGCAGGAAAGAAGACAACGAAGAAGAGGAGGAACACCTGCATTACAGGACCAAAATCTGACCACAACAAGAGCATCCTCTGCTAAGGTACAGTGTTTTTGCTCTTGGGATAAACTAATGTGTTGTTTATCTGTGTGACTGTGTATTAAATTAAGGGTGGCTGTATTTTAGTGGAGGTGTTCTCATTTGTATGAGAAGCATGGCTTGTGAGCTAAAAAAAGTTGCAACTTTGTCCTCATAGTGGCACCAAACACTTTGAGTGGGGAGCACTGGGTTCATTTTTGTTTATGTCTCCCCAAGTTTGACAACCTTGACATTCAAAGAGTAGGTTTTTCTCTAAAACTCACCAAAGCTAGGTGAGTGTCCCTACTCTGGGGCAGTTTAACATTGAGCTTGAGCTTTAAAAAAGTCTTGATGGGAGCTCTCTATCTTTATCCTCCATTTTGGGGGGTTTGAACGAGGGCTTTGTGAGGAGCTTTTTCTCTACCGTGATTTATTTGGTGACTGTAGATGTTTTTGTAGCTGGTCTGAGGTCACTCTCCGTCATGTTACAGAAGTGCTTTCTGTCAACTTTCTGTTTTCAGAGAAGCAGAGGAGTTTAAATGGCTGAAATGTTGTCAGGTCTCCCCGTCCTTTCATTTTCTTTCCTCCCATCACAGAGGTCACAGGATCCCAAACAGGGCCCTGAAGGGTGGAAAACAGGCTTCTCGAGGGGATGATTCTCTGTCCATCTCAGGATCATTCATGGTGCTTTTACTTTTGAAACTGACCCCTGATAGATAACCTCCATGTGAGGCCGTGTCTTTGCTGTTTACTTCACTTTGGAAAGATATTGTTTGCCGGAATCCATTGAGCTCAAATAATTGTTGAGTCACAGGAAGTGTCAGTGCTGCTTAGTGAACTAAATATTAACTGTAATTCCACAACTGCAGCGATCTGTCTTTTCTTCCTCTCTTGTCTCCTCTCACCTTGGGCTGTGTTGTAATATTCAGCTCACTGTACTAAAATCCAAACTTTGCCTCTGGTCACAGGACAGGATAACACAGTGATTACTTTAATAATTCAATACTCCAGTAGTTCACCACAAGTTGAAACTGTGAGTGCTGAAATATTTCATCTAAAGACAGATGGTGAGTCCTGGAAAACATATTTAATCGTACAACAAAGTTCGCTGAAGTTGCACCACTAACTGAGACGGTGAATATTGGGAGATTTGATTCTTTTCTAGAATATAAGCACTGGCAGCAGGGATTTACGTCGTAACAACCAACTGATTACGGGACGGAGTGGCGACTGCAGGAAATTAAAATCAAGACAGAGCTGAGTTAACGTGTTGTTGTCATTCTGCTGGAGAAAATAGGAGGAGAGCAGAACGGGATGAGTGAAGGAAATGAGGGATGGAGGAAAAAGATTACAGAGCTCAACAAGCATTTGATAGACTGTGACAAAAGATATCAGGGACTCAATTTACTAAATGATGCAGGTATCAACAGAAAATTATTTTAGAAATCGAATCTGCTGCAGCTGGTGGAGCTATGATGTCAAATCTACACGTATTTCAGTAAAAGTCCTGATTGGTTGATGGCATGCATAGTTAATGTGTAGCACTGTCACTACTTCCTTTAGTTTAATCCACTCATTATCAATACTGCTTTCCAGGGAGTCCTGAGTACACTATAAAACTACAATGACAATTAAAAGTAGATAAAGCACAACAATGCTGGAGGGTGGTCTTGAATGCAGCATTTTTGGCTGTAGGGATTTCCAGGTGGGCCCCACCTCTTGCTGCTGACCTTCTGCAGCCAGTAGTGGCCAGCATGGGCAGGTTATCAGACAGTGGGCCTCTGGGCATAGATATGCAAAGGGAACCACCTTTGCCACAAAGAAGGATGAGAAAACAGACTTTGTGGTGGTTTTGTGTCTGTTTGTGGTAATTTTGTGTCCCCTTGTAGTTGTTTTGTGTCTTTTTGTAGTTGTTTGGGCCTATTTGAGGTAATTTTGTGTCTCTTTGGGGTACATTTGTGTCTCTTTTGGTTGTTGCAAGTGAAGGACAGGGAGACCCTGACCCTGTGCCTGTTAGGTCTGCTCACTGGTCGTGAAGATTTAAATACCACTGTTTGTACTCCTGTCCCTTATGCCATCAGTATCCGCCATTTGCATAAGTTTTCTCAGTCTTTGTGCCCAGCTGACAGCTTCTGAACACGTAAGAGTCATCAAACAGAAGTTGTAGTAGTGGCTTAGACATTGTGACACTGTCTTTTTTTTAAGCCCTACACATATTTTGGTGTAGCAGAAAAGGTATTCAGATCATTTACTCAAGTGAGAGTGCTCATACCACACTGTGAAAATACTGCACTACAAGTAAAAGTCCTGCAGTCAAAACTTAACCTAAAGGTCCAGTGTGTCGGGTTTAGTGGTAACTAGCAGTCAGGTTTCAGAACTGAAATGTCTTTGATGTGCCAAACGTGTATAAGCACTACAGTGGCCGGCACCAAACATGAAATGCCCTATCTATCTAGAGCCATAGTTTGGTTTGTCCATTCTGGGCTACTGTAGAAAAACCATGATGGACTCTGTGGGAGATGACCTGCTCCAAGTGTAGATATAAACTGCTCATTTTAAAGTAACAAAAATACGATTCTTATTTTCAGGTGATGATAAACTAATGAAAACCTTATGAATGTTATATTCAATTTTTACAAATAGATGCCCCTAACTCCTACACACTGGACCTTTGAGTAAAAGTATAATCAACTAAATGTAGCCTAATTGAGATATGAAAATTAAAAGTATTCACTGTGCAGTAAATTGTCCTGTGTCAGTGTTTTACTTTATGTATGAGGTTTTTTGGATTAATATTACTGCTGCATTGATTTGTATGTTGTATTTCACTGCTGTAGCTGTTATAGGTTGTGCTAATTTTAAGTCCTTTATACACTGTTGGGTAGTTTTATTCTACAGCAGTGCATTATATTTTATAAGATCATCATACGTTTGTAGTGTCCCTGTCCCATAAGAACCATGTATCTCTAAAGCCAACTTTTCAAAAAAAAAAAAGACTGTTTTTAGGTTTGTGACAAAGCATTTTTGAGCTAATCCAGGAAGAGTATATTTATCTTAAGAAGTGAATTTTCTCAACACATGAAGGAACACTTCATTCATCAGATTATCATAAACATTAAAATTCATGTACATTTGGGGACACATGGTTTTCACAGGACAGGAAGGGGCTGAAAAACTGAATCTGAAAAGTAACTGTCAGACAAATGTAGTGGAGGAAAAATAGGCTGCAGTATTTTTACCTCTGAGATGCCTATCATTGCATGGCACTGTACGTTTCTGCAAACCAAAGATAGGTAACATATGTAACATTTCCTTACGTTTCAACAAAGCCATGGCCAATGTGTAGTTATGGTTAGGCACAAAAAACACTTGGCTGTGGTTAGAATAGATCATGTTTTGGCTTACCTGGTTTTGTTGCCGCAACCAGCACTTGAAATGCCCCAATGCCCCGCTATAAAACACAACTGATTTTGTTGTTAGTTGGTTTCTAACAGTGGTCTGCAGCTTGGCAACCACCTCACCTAGGTGTCGCACCACCATCCTCCATGTCCTGTGTCATCAGCTCATATACAGTACATGTAATCTGAACTGCTACACTGTTGATATGTTGATGCGCTACGTATGAAAATCACAGACGCACAATGTTACACATCTGTGGTTTGCAGAAACTTACAATGCCAACATTTTCATCCAGTGTCTGGGCTGGAAATACTCAAGTGAAGTACAAGTACCAAGAATTTGTGCTTACAATCCTTGAGTAAAGGTACTTGGATAAATTCCACCACTGCCTGACATCCAGTGTAGCTTGAAAACTGCAATAGAATGAATAACAGGTAGACGAATACACGGGAATGTTCAAAGACAAACTCAGCTTCTCAGTGCTCAAACAGATCATGATGTTGGTGTCATGGTGCAGTTAGCACAGTCGGGTCATCATCACCTTTCCTCCCAGGTGAAAATAATGTTGACGATTCAAAGCCTCCTGTGGTGGCAGGAGTATTCACCTGAGTTATTAAAACACTCCCATAATCAGTTTCAATGCACCACTAGGCTCATTCTGCAAAAAGTAAACCATCTCTTTAATTAGCTTTTTCTAATTTACCTCGTGTATTGGGGGCAGTGCTCCCTATAGAGCTGTGAGGTGAGATGACCCGCTGGTTACAGAAGTATTTTTGATCACTGTAAATTCCCACTTTGAAAGTTTTCTTTTAACGATACCTTCTAGTAACATTTAAGTTTCCTTAATAATACTAAATGTTTATGTTATGGCCATTAGTTTTACTATTTTTTTAATTTGTTAGTTTGGTATTGATGACTGTTAGCAGCACCTTTTTATACTGTAGTGTCTATGAGCCTCAGTCGTGATTGCTTAGCCAATCAGAGGCGTGTATAAAAGATCAATCGAATTCAAAAACAGTTTCAGATGATGCAGTTGAGAAGAAAACACATCAAAGTTGCCAAATTCATACAATACTGATCCAAAATCTAAAAGTGAACTGATTTCAACTACTGAATGTTTAAATTTTTTCTTCCACATTTCTATAAAGTGAAATCTTTAGCTTTGCTCACTGCAAACACAGTATGGGAAAAAATGCAGAAATTCAAGAGCAGAGTTTTTTTTTTACTGTTAAAACTTTTTGTATAACTCTGAGATTATCTTGTTCATTCAGAAAAGCAGGACAACTTTTCTATTTTTTCTGAAGTAAATGCATTATGCCTCTGTAGAAATGTTCCTTGTGAGTTGTATTTGATGTCTCACCTTATGTAGTCTACTTTTTGGCCTTGTTCAGACTGACAGCCCAGATCTGAAGTCAGGACAGCAAAACAACAGGAAATGTGCTGTTTGCAAATCAAATCCAAACCACATTTGGAGGTGGTTTGAAATGCTATTTAATTTGGATTTCTTCAGATGCATCTCAGTCAAGATGCTCTGGCTGCTCCACTCCGATTTTAAAGTGCCTTTTGTGTAATGTTACTGTATCGCTGAGGCTGAGCTTTTCCAGCTAAGCTGCATGCGCGAATCT